GGGAGTTATAAGCAGGTTGAGACAAAAGGCAACTGGGAAGTAAAACTTAAGGAGATGCTCAATTTCAGATTGTGGGTGGCTAAGGATGGTCCTGAATGCCTCCTTAAATTTTTCACCTTAGGATCCTCACTGACTAACCCTGAGAAAAGGGGATTGTGGGAAAAAAAAGAACGCTTTATACAATAACTAACTAGGTCATATAGAACTAAATGCTAGGACTACAGGCTTAAAGAACTTACTATTATAATCAAAATTATACAACTATAACTAATAAGTAATCAATTTAAAATTGCTAGGTAGCTGACAGATATTACCACTCTCATCTCCTTTGATTATCACAAAGAAGTAAACCACAGAAGCTTTCAGTAAGTGTTTAACATCACACAGATAATAAATCATGGAGATAAGAGTCAAATTAAAACAAAATACATACTGACTTGCAGTCACAAAATCAATGTGCAATTTGTGTAATTATCCACAATTAGGGAGACTCAATATCACATAGCTAAAGAAAAGCGGGTTAAGAAACAGTTATCTGAGTGTTGCTTTATAAGAAACAACAAAATAATGGGGTACACACAGCACAATGGATATCAAATAACAGCATTTATCTTTCCTTCTTTTGTACCACATACATGGACACAAGTAACAAATATTCTCCATTCTGTTTCCCAGGGCGACTACATTTATCATTCAAATCTAAATCAATATGTCCAGGCTAATTTCCCTGCAGAAAGTTATCTTACTTTACCTACTTAATATCCTCTCATGAAATATGTTGCTACACTATACATAATGAAATACTGTCTCAATACTCTTTCTAAAGTATTTAATATAACCTGTATAATAGGAATGTATTTTATCAAATACATCAAATGATGGAATAATGAAGTGTTAAAATAGGCAGTTGATAATGTCTGTTAGAAGACATTTTATGATACAACATTTGATAAACTTGTCCGAGAAAATGTACATAGGAGTACAAGAGGTTGTCAAGATATGTACTTAATTTAAAGTGAGATTATATGGCAAAGCTGGGGGCCATCTCCAACAGTTGCTAATTACTCCAGTACCTGTGCTAAGTAAGGTATAGCTTCATTTATCATGGGCTCAGTTCCTAAAGTATAGTGAAAAACCAAAAAAAAAACAAACTCAGTACCTTGGAGTCAGATCCGACTCATAGTGACCCTTCCTTGGGTTTTGGAGGCAGTATCACTACGGAAGTAGATTGCCCCACCTTCCTTCTGAGGAGTGGTTGGTGGATTTGAACCAGCAGGCATCTGGTTAGCAGTCAAATGCCTTAGGCACTTTGCCACCAGAGCTACCAAAATGATCTTAAAATAAATTTGAGGGGGCAGTTTATTGTGATTTAACAGGAGAAGCTGTGACATGCATAAATAGTATCATTCTGGAGTTGTAAACAATTGCATTTCATAAAACCCAATCTTGACACATAAATGCAATTTAGAGAATTTGTAAATACGGGAAAGTATAGGGAAATATACATGTAAATTTCCCTTTTCCACAGATGCGTCATCAAGAAGCAGCACTAGAAGAAAATCTAACTCAGTGGACTGAGTTTGTTCTCCTGGGATTTGCTGAGCTGCCCCGTCTCCAGTGGTTTCTGTTTGGATTGTTTTTCATCATCTATATTATCATTCTGATAAGCAATGGCACCATAGTTCTAATAACAAAAATGGATCCTGCTCTCCACAGCCCTATGTACTTTTTCCTGTCTAATTTTTCCTTCTTGGAAATGTGCTATGTGTCAGTTACTTTCCCCAGAATGCTGATGGATCTTGGAATGCAGAGGAGGAGAATTTCCTTAGTTGCCTGTGCTGCACAGATGTGCTTTTTCCTTATATTTGCAAGTACAGAGTGTTTGCTTCTGACAGTGATGGCCTATGACCGCTACGTGGCCATTTGTAACCCTCTGCACTATCCTGTAGTTATGAACCACAGGGTCTGTCTCCTGTTGTTGACTGGCTCCTGGATCCCTGGAATCCCAGTACAGATAGTGCAGACCTACCAGATTTTCTCGATGACTTTTTGTGAATCTAACAAAATCAATCACTTCTTCTGTGATGTCCCAGCAGTATTCAAGATGGCTTGTGGGGATACCTTTTTTAATGAGATACTGCTCTATGTAGATATTGTGTTGTATGGCATGATTCCATTTCTGTTGATCCTTGGCTCCTACAGTAAAATCATCTCTACCATCCTGAAGTTGCCATCAGCCACAAGTCGGGCCAAAACCTTCTCTACCTGCTCATCTCATCTTACGGTTGTGCTATTATTTTTTGTGTCAGCCATCATTATATACTTAAGACCCAAGACTGGTCACTCAGAGGGAAATGAAAAAATATTTTCTCTTTTCTACTGCATCCTAACTCCTTTGTTTAATCCCATGATATATAGTCTAAGAAACAAAGATGTCATAATGGCACTGAGAAAATTTCTATATTAATAATTCACTAAAGAATGAGTTAGTGGAGCTCTGGTAGTGCAGTGCCTAAGGCATTTGAGTGCTAACCAGAAGGTTGGTGGTTCAAATACACCAGCCACTCTGTAGAAGGAAGACTGAGCAATCTACTTCCATAAAGATTTACCAACTTGGAAAGCCAATGGGGGTCACTATGAGTCAGAATCGACTCGATGGCAGTAAGTTTGTTTTTAGAGAAGGAGTTAAATGTATAAGAATTGTTTTCATGTAGATTTAATCTCATTTCAACAGATGTGTGCCCTGAACTATTCCTTGTCTTTCCATACGCTGGTACATATTTCCAAAGTAAAAATCACTTGCAATGTTTTCTCACTTTCCTGCTCAAATTATAAAAGTAATACATGTACATGCAGATAACAAGCCATTCCATGACTAATTCTACAGTTTCATTGTCTCTCTCAATAAGAATTTTTACTGTGGCTGAGTTAGTTCAGTCAATTGTCACTTATAATCTCTTATATCATTTACTGGAAACCATGACATTTATTTCCATGAGAGTCCATACACTCGTGGCACCTATTTTAGAAATTAGGTTGGCAATATGCATTAATTAAAACTATGTATACATTTGGGCAGAGCTCTGGTAGTGTAGTGCCTAAGGGACTTGACTGCTAACCAGAAGGCTGGTGATTCAAACTCACCAGCCACTCCTTAGAAGGAAGGTTGGACAATCTATTTCTGTAATGATACTGCCTTAGAAACCCCAGGAGGGGTAGCTATGAGTTGGGTCCAACTTGACAGCAAATAAAAACATACATTTGGGCTTCACAGTGACTCTCCATAGAAACCATTTCTTATAGGGAACAGAACACCTTATGGTGAGGATGTGTTTTATAAAGTATGATGGTTTATCAATATCACTGACATTAAGCATGAAATATATGTATATCAGATTCATGATTTCTATATAATGAAATGCAATGGTTTTATAAAATAGATATTATTTTTAAATAGTTACATGCATTTAGCAAATCAGGTGGTTATTCACAAGTTTTTGTTTTTGCTCTACTTTTTAGTTTTTGGGAGAGATGAGAAAACAATGAGTGAGATTCTATATTTAAAAATCAAAGATAGATATCTGCCATAAAAACAAGAGATATTGCCCACATACTGTATATCCAGCATACACACACAGATACACACATTGATAATGACAAGTGGAAACATATCACCAAATGTAAATTATGAATATTCCAGAGCATGTATTTTATTTTTTCCTTTATCTTTTCTGCATTTTTGGTGATTATAACATTGAATCGGTGTTAGCCATCTAATCATTTTTGAAACAGTAAATCTGTATTAATGTGGATAATAAAAATGGTACTAATTAGTTGTTTAAGGAGCTGCTGTGGTGTCTAAGGCATTTGTCTGCTAAGCAGAAGGTTGGTGCTTCAAACCCACCAGCCACTCCATAGAAAGACAGTGAGGTTAACTACTTCCCTAAAGATTTACAACCTTGGAAACCCAGCGGGTGTTGTTATGAGTTGGAATCGACTGGATGACAGTGCATTTGCTTTTGGTTTGAGTTAGTAGTTTATGCTGTTTCCCTATTTATGTTATTGTAATTATCTTTATTTTCTGTTTGTATTTTAAGCTTATCTAATGAATCATTTATATATGAAGGCAGAAGATCTCAAAAAATGAAATAAAGTACAATAAAAAGTCATTGTCTATCAGTAGGACTTGCAGTTCAAAAGGAATACGTTGAAGATCTTGGCTCTCTTCAAGTTTTTTCTCAGGAGTTAAGCAAGTCAGTTATGCCCACAGTTACATAGGTATATCCAGCTCCATCTGACAAGAGAAGCACTACTCCCGACTCACAGCAAGAACAGAGAGAATATGGCACATCTCTGATGATAAACCCAAGACAAAAATATCTACCCAACTGAGAGGGAAGAAAACAAGAAATCATCACCAAGATTCTCACATAAAATGGCTATCAAATACTATTTTTAAAATTTAATGAAAATTATTAAAGGTAAGGGAGGAATAAAATTGAGAAGACTAAAATAAGAAAAAAAATAATTCCACAAATATTTCCAGCAGAAACTGGACATGACTCCTGAAGCAATTAGTTGTGGAATGGGGTGAGAGAAAAACTGAGAAATCCTTTAATTCTCACTGTCCCATGCCAAAGCAAATGCACTGTCATCAAGTTGATTCCGACTCATGGCAACCTCCATTGTGTTTCCAAGGCTGTAAATCTTCACAGATGTAGACCACCTCATCTTTCTTCCATGGAGCGGCTGGTAAGTTGAAAGACCAAATGTTTCGTTAGCAGCCAAATACCTGAACTACTACACCAGCAGAGCTCCTTACTTTTCTTTTAGTCTTTACTTTTACTCTTACTTTTCAGCAAAAAAGTCCCTTAGAAGGAAACACACAGGTTTGATGAATACCTCTAACATGTGAACTCATCTATCTGTTTTTATAGAAAAGTCAAATGAAAGCTGTGTGCCTGGACCACTATCATGTTGTTTCTAGATACTGAGCCGCCCTCCAGAAAATGATAATCTATAGTAATGCAAGAAGTTTTTGTCATTAAACTAGACAACTTAGAAGAAAAGAATCACTCAAAGATAGTACCCATTCTCAGTGAAAAAGTTTGAAACATTTTATTTTCATCACTAGCTTGTAAAATAAATTACTAGCTTGTAAGATAAATGTCTACATCTGAGTCCTTGCAAAATATTAATAAAAATATTAAATAATAAATATCTTCATTGTGTTGCTTTAAATTATTTTCAACCAAAATATTTTGGCTACAATTCATTTACACTTCTAAAAATCTGACTTTTTATCTTCATAAACAAAAACACAGACATTTATTTCCATATATGTATGCTTGTTTAGATAGGATAATATCCATACGCCTACAAGGAAG